ATTATTTTCATCTCTCATCATCCATCTCCCTCATTATTCTATTCATCCCTCATTACCCATCACTACCCAATATATTATAGGTACGAAAATACATATGTATTAAATCATATAAAAATCATCTTATATTGTTTCATCTAACATAGAACATTTTGGTTACAGATAAATAGCACATATAACATTTAATTATCTAAATACTTAATATCTATGTGTAAGATGAAAGTAACTATGCACTCACTTGTTAAAGGTGGGTGACTTGTGAATTCGACAGTGTTTCACCTAACACCTTTAATTTTTCTTTGATGTGACCCAAGCACGAATGTCACTATGTCTTAGTCTTATTTTGTTGGTGAATAATGATAGTATAGATTTCTCACTAATTCCAATGTCTACATCCAAATCTATCAAGTAAGGAACAACCAGGTAGGATCATATCGGAGGTAGGGTCCGTTTGACATACAACATATACTGTTTGAAAATCCTACTTTAAACATCTCATTAAATGCAGCCTAGACATCACTCCCGTAAGTAGATCAATATGTATTTTAACTTGGAATCACTGATAAATCTTATTTATAGGCTCATAATAACGATTCTTATTATAAATATAAGTTACACTTGAATTAAAACAAGTGTATCTCAACTTACAAAGTTTCCAAGCGCGAACCGGTAATTGTGTGGGCATAACTCTGACCCGAAAATTTTTATTTCTCCTGATCTCTGATGCCGTAGGGCCTTCCTAAAGTAGTCGGGAATTAGGGAGTAAGGGATAAAGGCTGTGAGAGAGTTCCAGAGAGATTCCAGAGGAAGGTGTGAAGAAAGGTGGCTGAAAAATGAACTATATATAAGGGGATTTCGAGGGCACATTTTGCACAAGTCAGGTGCATACCGCGTGTTGAATCTATATGCCCAATAACCATTATTGATTGATATTAGTAATAATATATGATCATATAGGGTCACACATTTATCAAGTTGGCACATTTTGTATATTTATTATTAATATTACTATTAATAGATAATATCAATTCTTGTATTCATTTAGGGAATAATTATTGTTTTGTGAAAATAGTAATTAAAGAGAGTATAACTACTTATTATATCATATGGTATGATTTAATAAGTCATGTACAAAGTTTTGGACACTTTGGTTAACCATGATCAAGTTAATGAGTTAACATACCATGATTAAAAAACAAGCTAGACAATTTGTCTTCATTTTAAGCGTGACCAAAATTATTATTATAAGAGGAGAGCTTACTTGTCAACTTTCTTCTTATATCCCCATGCTTCTAAAAGGCTACCAATACTTTATATTATTATAATATAAAGGTATGTCTTGCATGAGAGTATACAAGGAAGACATTTGCATGGGTTATTGGCTAGTTATTCAAGCTCGTTTCTTCTCTTCCATATGATAGCCAAAATTTATTCTACTCTCATCGTCTCTCCCTTTGAGGCTAGTTTTTGGTGATTAGAAGCCCTCTTGAGTTGTCTCTTTTAGTTCTCACTTGAGTTAAGTACTTAAAGGCTTTAGACAATCAAGAATACAAAGAGGAACTAGCATTCCAAGTGCCTTAATCTTGATGGTGGGTACTTGTAGAGAAAATCATACTCATTGATTTTTCTATCTTCATTAACACCCCAAAAACAGTGGGTTCAAAGGCTTCAAAGGTTGTCATTCTAAAACATTTTTTGGTTGTTTTAATATCATTCTAACCTCTATAAATGGATCCTAGATGGGTTGGTTTTGTTATAAACTCTAAAATAAAATTGTTATTTTTAACGCTTCTGCTGACCGACTTTTATGAAAAAAACACATATATTTTGTATCAAAATCCATCATCGCGCACTTGATTATAGGAGGGTGACGTGGCTCCATGCAGATAGTGACATGTGGCAACATTCTGGTGGCTAGTTAGAGGCACGCCACACGCCTTGTCTGCGCGTGCGCCTTCGCTTGCGCTTTAACAATTTTCCAAAAATTCATATTTTATTTATACGAGCTCAATTTTTGACGTTCTTTATATCCACATGTAGCTATCAACGAGATCTACATAGATTCCGTCAGCTAATTGTCACGTTATTTTTAAAGCTATATTTTTAACATACTTAGGCTATATAAAATCACAACTTTCTCATACAATATCCATTCTCGACCGTATTTATGTCGACAGATAGGTATTGATGAGATCTTCAACTCTCGTTTTGATTGTTTTTCCTAACAATCGACCGATTTCAATTTCGTTTTATGAATCGTATATTGTTGTGCCGAAACTTCTAAAAACCGTATCTTCCTTATATAAAGTCATATTTGGACGTTCTCTATATGCACAATTTTATGATCACTACGACTTTCGTTTAGATTGCTTAGGCTAATAAGAAACCCATCTAAAATTCACTTTTTACGACGCGTGTAGCCGTGTCGGTTTATTCGTGAAACTTCGAAGAAGCATAACTTTTTCAGACGAAGTCGGATTTCAGAGTTCTTTATATGATTGAATTTAAGAGTTGTTTATATATAAGAGCCTCGATACATATTAGTAAGACATAACTTTCTCAAATTACGCAATTTTACTACACTCCTAATTGACATCTAACTTAGGCATCAGATAACAATACCAATACCAGGGTCCATCCCTTAGTATCGCTTTCTAACCTATTGTTTGTCCACCTTTTGCAGCATGCCTTCTAGATTTCCTTATGGATTGCAACATCTATAGTTAGCATTTTTTTTGGCTATTTTATAGTAAAAAAATTACATAATTACTAGTATAGTC